TTAAAGAAAAACTTTGGTAAAAGCAATTCAGTCCCTTAAAAGAATAAAGAAATAAAGAACTATGCAGGAAAGCACCTTATCATACAATAGAACGCAAAGCCACTTTACTATTAATCAAGAACATTGTCTCTGGTTATATAAAGGAATTATATAATCCTGGTATGTTTCAGAGAGCACAGCATGCGAAAAAAAGTTTTTGCAAAACCTTGGTGGGTGCCAGGTATATAGACAGCCTACAGAGGGCAGCAGAGAGCTACCAGGCTGCAGGCTACATTACAAACAGACCTCAGAATTTTCCATTAGACTCTTCCTCCTGGTCATCATGCCAGAGGTTAGTCGGCTAAGCTCCCTTTTAGAAAAAAGATTTTAAAAAATCTCTGCCATAAGTGTTAAAATTATACAGCCCAATGATGCGTCTACTCAGCTGGAAAATGAAAGCTCAAGTGAAACAAATTGGCAGAATAAAAGAAAAACGTATATTCTGAGCTTCCCTTCTTTTTCTTTTCTTAGAAATTCACAGTAAGAGAAAAGGAAACAGACTGGGTAGATGGATAAGGTAAATAAATAAATACTTTGTTTGACAATATAAAAAGAAAATGCAGTATTTGCACAGCTATAAGGAAAATGGGTCAAACGCCAAGATTTCTCATGCCAAAATTACTTCCGAACCTTCAATTTTTGAATTTTTATTTTCAGTCTAAAATGGAGGAAGGTAAGACAAAAATATACCAAAACTAAAATAGAACCCATTTAACAAAATCTGATTATGCATAGTGTCAAAAATGTAGAATATAGTACGAAAGGCTCAAAGTACAATAGGAATGAAAACTATTTGCAATTTTGGATTTATTATGTAGAAAATTCACATGGGGTTGTTTTGAATAGCATTTTCTGTGCAGAAAATATATTTTTGTATTTTCTCCTCAAGTAAACAAAAAAGTGCCCCCCCAATCTGTTTCCTTTTTTAATTTTTTTCTTTAGACAGATTAAAACTAAATCTACATACAAACATACAAAAATCAAAACAACATCACTACAACAAAATATTAAAAAGACTTTTAGTAGAATATTTATTTATTTATTCACTCTCTTTGTATCCCACCTTTCTCTACCCTGAAGGGGATTCAAGACAGCTTTACATATGGCAACTATTCAATGCCTTTGCACAACAAACAGTTAAAATACGTTAAGTTAAAGATTTAAAATTAAAATTAAATGCACACTAAAAACATATAAAACATTACAATCACTATTAAAAATCACACCACTACAACCCAAACATTAAAAAAACCTCCTAAAACCTGCAACCAATCTATGTTATTGAATCTACATTCTTTGTTTGGTGGTTATATTCTCTCAGTTTTCTACATCTATTTAGTGAAAAGGAACCATTGGTACATCCTTTCTCACATAATAACACACTTCTAGTCCAAAATAGTGATAAAGATTTGGCACCATCTTTGCTGGCGGTGCACCATAAATGGGCACAGTCTTTCTTAAAGTTAGTTAGAGATTTCTCCTTAATCAATGTGGTAAGTTTATCCATTTCCGCAAGTTCACTGAGTTTCATAAGCCTATTGTGTTGTGATGGAATCACTGAATCTTTCTATCTTTGAGCATAGATAATTCTTGTGCTGTTATCATGTATAGAAATAATCTTCCACATTTTCTCTCAAGGTTTTCATCTAACGTCCTAAGGAGATAGAGGTCAGGTTTCATTTCAAATGTGACTTTAACAATTTCTTCTAAAATTGTATGGATTTGTGCCCGGTATTTCTGGGCCTTTTTACATAACCACTGCATATGATAAAAAGTGCCCACATTTCCCCACATTTTCAACAACCACTAAAACTATTTGTATGCATCTTAGCCATACCCTTTGGTGTCAGGTACCATGTATATTTCATTTTATCTTTGTTTCCAAGTAGTTGGGAACACTAAATTCTGGGCAGATTTAGAAAATTGTGAAATACTCATTAGAGAGTGGTGGGATCAGAGAAGTACCTGTTTATGTCCCTACGGCTACACACAAAAAAGATTACAACCTCCACTGAGATCTTTAAGAGCTCGTAGTTGCTGATGCAAATAGTCTGACTATAGGGATATAACCAGATACTTCTCCAATTCTCCAACTTATCTCACCAGGCATGGAATAGCCACAGGAAAGGGTTGCACAGATTCCATGGGAGATCTGGAAGGCTGTGGTTCATGTGGAAGAAGGAATATAATACTAACCTTCACATCAACTAAAAAAAAGACATACATATATAGTAGGCATAGGACTGACTTACACATATGTATGCCACTAATTGAATACAATGCATTAAGTCCAAAATGTTTTATTTTGCTCTTTGGACAATTCTGTAGGATGCAGATGTAAATACCTAATTATGTACTTGGTATTTTGGTGTCTCTTCAATTTCATGTTAAAAAAAGATAAGGAGACCAGAATGAGCAGTTAGGAGGATAGATTAGATGTGTTGTGTTGGTCAGGGTGAGCAACAAAGGTGGGATGGAGGGGAGGAGGAGCTCAGGGGGTCACAAGAGAGGATTGGTGACAACATGTTGTATGATTATTATCATACAGCATATCTGTGTCTGTCTATATATGATGTATATATGATGACATTGAATGTTTGCCATGTATATGTGCATTGTAATCCGCCCTGAGTCCCTGGTGGGGTGAGAAGAACAGAATATAAATACTGTAAACAAACAAATAAACAAACAAACATGGCTCTGTAACATACTATATTCTGTGATGTTTCCCATTTTCCCCTTCTTATTTCCCTTTTCAATAGTTATTTTTCCTCTTTTTTAAAAGAAAAAAACAAAACAAAAACTTATTTGCATCAAAAAAATCAAAATGCTTAGATTTACAACATGCATTTCTCAACCTACAACAACTATCTAAAGTGTTGAAGAAACAAATTGGCAAAGCAAGACTAATATACAGGAACCATTACTACTACATGACAGACAAAAACCACAGAATAACAGAACACTCACAGCTGAGACCACTTAAATTCACCATCAATGGCCTACAACTAACACTGGAGAATAACACAAGCCTCTCATATGCTCTGGGAGGCTTTATTATTTTACACACAGCCCCCAAATTTTAAATGACTGCACATCTACAAGAGGATACATAACATGGAAGGTAATACAGGGACACGATACCAACTCTGTCCCCATATCTACCCTGGGAACAATATTACAGGAGCCAATGACATCAATCACAGCATCAGATATATAGTTATTTGCCCTTCCTTCAATGTGATATATGCCATTCTATGTCAGTAATGTCCCCCTATAATCCTGTGTCTCCCTACAAACTAGCAAAAAATCAAAGAGATAACATGTCATTCACAAAGCTATTTTTATAATACATTAAAACTGTATTGCATTAAGATAAGTTTGTCTTTATTTGCTTTTACTTATTGTATGCCAATATTAATATCACATAAATACAGAGTTTATGGTATAGTATGGGATATAGTATTAGTTTAGTTGGGCTATTTTCAATTGCTTGTGGATGTACTGTTTTTAACTTGATTTATGTCTAATTGTAGTGCATAATTGTAATTGTTTGTACTGGCATTGAATTTTGCCATTACTTATATTATGCTGGGGAAAGTGGAAGGCAAAAGGAAGAGGGGCCGACCAAGGGCAAGATGGATGGATGGCATCCTTGAAGTGACTGGACTGACCTTGAGGGAGCTGGGGGTGGTAACGGCCGACAGGGAGCTCTGGCGTGGGCTGGTCCATGAGGTCACGAAGAGTCGGAGACGACTGAACGAATGAACAACATATGTAAACCGCTTTGAGTCCCCCTCTGGGTGAGAAAAACGGTATACAAATACTGTAAATAAATAAATAAATAAAATGTTGGATTGATACCCTGTTCAGATATTAGGCAGCATACCAACGCCTTAAATCAAGAAACAGTTCTCTAAGATCTACAGAGACACTCACAGGAACACCTCAGCAAGTGAGAGTCCAAAAGTGGCAGCTAAAACCCGGAACCTGAAAAACTGGAACCTCAATCCATGGCTAATACCAAATCAGAGACTCCTCCTGGGTGACTTGGAAGGTGCTGAACAGACTGTGCTCTAGCACTATGAGATGCAGAGCCAACCTTAAGAAATGGGGCCACAAAGTGGGAGTCCACGACATGCGAGTGCGGAGAAGAGCAAACCACAGAACACCTATTACAATGCAGTCTGAGCCCTGCCACATGCACAATGGAGGACCTTCTCATAGCAATACCAGAGGCACTCCAAGTGACCAGCTTCTGGTCAAAGGACATTTAATATAATGCCAAGTTTTCAAACTTTGTGGGTTTTTTTTGTTTTTTAAATACATTACAACTGTACCCTTGGTTCACTTCTACACGATCATCGTCTGATAGTGGCTTTACCCTGCATTCCATTCTGTTTGTTTTGGAATTTAACTTGGAGAATTTAAAATACTGATTTCTGAATGGGCAAATTTATCATTTCTATTGACCTCATGTATCCTCATTCTTCTTCTCAGTCTCAGTTAGTGACAACTTCAGGCAAAACTTACTCTGACATTATGCTTGTCTTCTAAAATAACCATATTTTTATTTTAATCATAAAGTATGGCTTGCCTGAACTATCAAGTATTTTTTTCTGAGTATATAAAAGGAAGACATGACCAAACATCTCATTTTAAATTCTGGAGAACTGCTGTGCAAAAAACTCTTTTTATTTTTTGAATCAAAGCACATATTAATCTAAATGGCTGTTTTTAAACCATTAATCGTATTGACAGCTATCCCATAAACTTTGATATTGCCTCCTCCAAACTGCCACACGTAATGCAGATGAGATTGCATTATATAGCTAAAACAGTACTACAAGCTTTCATCTTTCTAGAAAGTGGATGAAAATGTGAAAGCTTGCAATTGCTTGCAAAATTCAGATGATTCTTTTCATTTGCCCACACAGTAATAGGATGCCCAATTAACTTAC